TCCGAGACCCGCTGACGTCTTTAACCCTTGATAGGTAGTCCGTAGCCGTAGAGCCATCGGAATCAGATGTCATCGGATCCACCCCAATCCGAGACCCGCTAACGTCTTTGACCCTTGATGGGTAGTCGTTAGACCCATCGGAATCAGATGTCACCGGATCCACCCCAAAGGCCAAGCTTTTTGCACGATCATCCAGGTCTTTGCAGTGCAGATTGAAATGATGGCAGCAGTAGGCCAGGGCACGAACATCACCTGTGAAATCCTGGCTGCAGTCGGGAGTAATGATAGGAGGAGGACTGTGCTGTGGGCGCCGGATCCCAAGCACAATCGCGATCAGGGCGAGGAGCATCAAGCAGGCCAGCAGTGGTAGCCAGGCATGGCGACCGCTCAGGTCCAAGTCTGGTACCCGGATATCTCTCTGCGTTGGCTTCTGGCTGTTCAAGTCCTTTCTCGCATCTATCCCAGCATAGGTGCTCCTTTCAGGGCTCTGGCTCGCTTCTTCGTCTGTGTCAATGAAGATGCTGAAGCATTGCGCGCCACAGACAGGAAACCATGGTGACCTTGGCATGGTCCAGGCGCCCAAGAACGACTGAGCCAACAGCACAGCGATGGAGATTCTAGGAACTTCTTTCAGGAAGGAATGATTATCATGGCAACTCTGACAGCACTTTATTCGCCAGTCTGGCATTCAGAGATGCTGCGGCACGGTCTTTGGTGCTGCAGTTCTGAATCGTCCGAATCACATTCCGCTCACATCCATCACTACAAGAAAATTCTAGCTACACAGTCTTCGCGACTACACCAGTACTTTTGAGGATAAAACATTTGGCCTGATCGCACGACAGGCAGTCGTCTCGCTTCGAGAGCTCGTCCCGTTACGAATGCGGATTGCAAAAAAAAAACAGCTCGGTGCTTTTGCTTGGCCCCAACCATCTCAGCCTGCCCTGAGACCAAGTCCTGTTCAAGGATCATGGTGAAATGAACGCACGAGTTCTCCAATGCAACGAAGCCCACGGACTGGATGACTGGAGATGGCCAAGCTGTGCGGGTAGGACGAGTTCCGTGGGCCCTTAGAGTAGAAATCTAACGAGTTAAAGCACCAGTCACGTCCTGATAGCTTCGATTCAGGTAGAGAGAGCATTCAGGTCCCAGAAAACAAAACTCCTGCTTTACAATGCTTCAAGCGCAGCATTCCTGCAGCATTGCTTCTGCTCCCCCAGCTAGCTGCTTCCAGGGTTTCTCAGCAAATCCTTGGGATCAGCGTTCGAAGGCTTCTGAAGCCACGAGCGCATGAGGTGGGAGCGCGGACTAAATCAGGCCAAATGCGCGCGGCACGCGCTTTCTTCTGAAAATTCAGCTGCTATTTTTGTTGAAGTCTATGACTAGTCACTCTCGAGATCTCTCGAGCACCCATCTCAAGTCTTGTGAGGAGTCGCTTTGGACATTCTCACATAGCCTAGTCAACCCGCAGTTTCTGCGGTTTCTGGCAAACCGTTGGCCGAGAAGGGAGAGCAAGTGATGTGCCCGGTTCAGTCCTCGACTTTAATCCGACTCTGTCTCGGCCGCGAGCTGATAGCGAGGCTCTTCATGCCTGAACACAAGAGGTGAGCTCGAGTCACGGACGCCGACCACCGCTTCTGTGCAATACATTCAAGGTGCCCCAACGTGAAGAAGAAGCTGCGCCGGCCGCATGAAACCAATGCTACAAGCGCCAAGAAACCGGCCTCACAAACACAGGGGATCCAACATGTCAGCACGGATTCAAGCTTCCAACATTGTGAGGGCTAAGTGCGCAGCGGCAAAGCAAACAGCCAGCTGTCGCATACGCGATGCCTCACAGCACTAGGCACTGTCACATACTCATTGTGACACATGGCGGTTGACAACAGGGAGGCCGTGGCGGTCCATGTGAAAGAACTGAATGTTGCGCCTTCAGCTGCTCTGCACGCTGTGCCAGCTCCAGGAGCCTCAAATGCTTTCATAACATTTCATACACCTTCTCTCATCTCCATGCCACATAATATTTCGCGAAAAGAAGACAACAAATCCTACCCATCCCGTGCCATCCTGCTAAACTACAATCTCAAGGCTTCCTGTGCAAACAACCCCCTGCTCCCAAGTTCCGCGGCTTGTTCTGCAGGTTGTCTGCCCCCTGACACACATCGACTTGAGCCGGTTTACTGCTTCTTGCAAAAGTTTGAGTCTGGAAAAAAGCACAACAGAGTTGGGGAGGTCTTTATCAGACAGGAGCTATCGCAGCTTGCCTGCTAGGCCCTGCTAGGCGGTAGCCACAACTAGTTGCATGCTAATCCCCCGAGGCCGGAGGCCTGAAAAGCCTAAATCAGGGCGGAAGAAGAGCAAGTTAACCCATCTCCTACCCCCCTCGGCGATTTGGGGGGGGGTGCGATCAGCTGCGTTTTCGTAGGTTTCCCAGAAGGGTGCCTCGACTCTGGGTCCAAAAGGCAAAGTTTTCTGGGCACCACGCTAAAAACACGCGGCCAGGGGCCGGGGGGGGGCTGCGGGGAGGTCCAGGCACGGGGGCAGAGCACGGTCACAACTGCTCTTGCCTGTGCTGTCTAGCCTCAGTCAGCAGGTTGTGCCGAGGCGGTCTCGCATTAGCGAGTAAACTAACATGCCACACGCTGCTGCAGAAACCCCACCACAATGTTCTCTCCGATGATGGATTTCACTGGCTCCTGCAAGTTGGCTGCTGATCTTTGCAGACTGAGTCCAATCCTGCAATCTTCTGCTGCAAATGGCAACTTGGCATCTGGCATCAACGATCTTCAACATTCGGGTGCGCTTCTTGAGACCTCACGATGCAGCATGCCCAGCTCTGGATCCCACGATGCAACAAGAGGAAAGCTAGGAAAGTGGAAAGCTGTCTGTCAGGCCGGCACCATGGCCGCAGGCTTGAGTGCACTCCCCATACGGCCTCCAGTCACCTCAGGCCGTGCCGTGTCAATTTGCTCGCCATGCCTAACACTTTACGCGCTGGTTGATTAGGCCCATCCCATTTTATGGTATAGGAAAGGGAAAACAAACGACATCCGAACTTTGCTGTCCATGCCCAGCGGAAAAAGCCGCCGTGTTGAGACAGCAAACAGGCATTGATATGCGAAGAAGTATCGGCTTATTAGGTGCCGGAAAATCACGATGTCGGTGCGGACGTGACTCAGCTTAGGCCTGGGCCCCAGGTGCAGTAGCTCAGTTCATGGCCTCAGTCCGAGCACTTGCGGTACCAGAACGTCTCTTTCGTGGTGCCTCGCAGGCATTGACTGAGCTGATGGGCATTTGCGTGGGCAGCTTGTAGTTTCCTCTGCCGCTTCTGCCCTGCTGCACAAAGGAGGCCATAACATGCATCTTGGCTGCGTAACATGAAGAGCACCAAAGGTGACACAGGTCATCTTGCTTTCGTAGCGCAATTAGGTAATGGTTTGCCCTGTGTAGGCAGTTTATCGACGCTAGCATGTCCATGAGGCTGCGTCAACGTCATCTGCTGACCTTTATTCAGGATTTCTAAGATGCGGAGTGGGATTTCAGGGCGGCTTGCGTGAAGGGAAACGTTTTCTCAGCGTTGGTGCTCCAAAAGATCTGCAGCCGCTCTAGCTCACCACAGAAGCTGTGCAGGTAACTCAAATGCACAGCGCAAGTTAGTGACGTCCAAGCGCCGGACGCACAGCCACGGCCGCCACACTGGGACCTTTGCAGCACAGTGTCGCATCCCGGCGGCAACTCTTGCGGGATGAGCTCTCAGAGCCCCGCGGTCTGACCACGTTCCGGAATCGCTTCATCTGCCCTCCACACTTGTCGCACGCACCCCAATCCTCAACTATCAATGCACTCGGCTTGCAATCCAGCACTTGGCTCGAATTTTGGCGACAATGTCTCAGCTCCACACAGACCAGTGTGACCATTCACAATCTTGTGGCTGGCAAGCCTGCATAATAAAGCAATGCCGGGTGGTGACAAAGCTTCTATTTTCGTAGTGGAATTTGGAAAGCTGTATTCCACAGGTGAAACAGCTGTCTCGTGCCCATGTGGCATGACGCAGTTCAAAGGTGCGCAGCCGCTGTCAAATATTCTGCTCTGTTTAGGTGCCAACACCCTGTACGCAGATGCTGGGCGTCCACCAGCTCTGCGAAGAATGCAAGCAAGGCTGCAGTTCTTACTAGAAGTAGCCTCAAGTGACTAAGGCTGAAGCCTCTGCACAGGGCGTCAACTGACAGCCTTCGGTTACCTGAGCATTTGCTTTGGCATTGCGCCATCCCAGGTGACTGCAAGCCAGGTGCCAGGCGGACAGATCAACGTGACCTTGACTGAGCAAAGCAGCATTTGCACTTTACAAGGATCTAAACACTGTCTGCCTTAACCTCAGCCTGCCACATGGACGACCACCGTGCGAATTCATGGTCCTCACCTTTCGCGTTCGCTCCTGAGGACCCACGCCGCGGATTGAGGCTGAGGTCTTGGCAACAAGGCCCCAGCCCGCTGGCCATGGCCGCAGCTAGCCGAACAAGGAGCCCAGCTCTCCCACTCCTCCATGACCTCGCATGCTTGCATGGCTGGCCCCTGATTTTTCAGAGACCTTGGTAGATGAACGGCGTGTCCGGGTGTCATGCACAATCAACCGAATCCTCACCACGTCCACAGGTACTCACCATGCCTTAGAGTACTGGAAAGGTGAAAGCTTGCCTCGTCTAAGTCTATCACAACCTTTGGCAGAACAAAATGTTAATGACTGACATCACATCTCAGCCCTCTGCAGTCGCCCCGCCAGCAAGCTTTGGCTGCGAAGAGCAGGCTTTTGCCTCTACCACCAGCGGACTTTGTGAATCTCTCGCTGGATGTTGGATGAGATAGGTTTTGCAGCCGAGGTTGTCGCGAAACCCAGGCTGTGTCCGAAACTTGACACTGGCGCGGCTTGTATCCTGAGCAGCACAGAGGAGAGGGATAATTGAAGCCTCCCCCTTCTTCATCCAAATGTGAAGCACATCAGCCTTCCAAAGAACTGCAACGGCGTGCATCTCTTGCCGTGGGCTGAGACTGAGCGGATCCTCAGAAAACAAATGATGACAAGGCTTTGATGACAACCCTGACCTGGCAAAAGCCCTGTCCTTTGGTGGTGCAGCTCCAGGCATTTGGGACGTGACCGCCAACTTGCCATCTTGGGAGCTGTCTACCGATAGCCTCGAATGGCACAGCAGATTGTTCTTGGCGAATGGCATGCCTGCTACTGTCCGTACAACAACCACTGGGAGCCATTGCTGTGTCTCGTAGCTTGTGAATGCTTGATCAGCTGCCAACGCCTGCGTGTTGCACACTGCAAAATCAGCACTGCAGGCCTAAAAACAACACAAAACACATGCCTGCAGGGTAGCGCCGTCCGCTATGTCGAGGAACCTCCGCATTCGTACCACGCCAACATACTCCAATTTGTGACCAGCACGGAAATTCGAAGAACGTGCATTGACTAAGAGGCTGACTTGATCATCAGCATTTTCGCCTTTATCTCTCGCTGGTCATCCTGCCTGGAGCAAGTGCTGAATTGATCTCCAGTGAAGTGCGGCGTTTTTGAGCAACTCTTCGCGTGCTGGGAAATGCTGGACTGCCTAGCACACATGGGCACATGACATGCCTCATGAGGATGAACTGCACCTCGACTTCCGAGCCTGCAAGCGAAAGGGGACCGTCACAACACATCACATACTTCCCGCCGATCTATACTGGTGCGTAGAATCCTATTGTGGGGAGGCATCCCTCTCGTAACATTTCCATGGCCTCGCCTGGCTACTTCATACATGCTTCTGCCGCTTGTGTTGATGCTACCGATTGCTAATGCAAAGGCGATGTAGCGCTTCCAGCAGAACATGAATGCCGCGAAAGCTGGCATGATGATTGGCAGACTTGTTTACATTGTTCACGAAACCCTTCTGCAAGCAGCGCTTGCCAACTTTCCGCGGCACCAGCAATCTTTGAGGCAACTGCCGGATTCGAAGCCAATGCTGCCCACGTGGCCATGGAGGCCCGTTTCAGCTTCACCTAGGTATCTTTGCAAAGACAAGGCCACTCCATCGACCCGGTTCTGCATCGGCATCGAGGTCTGCCTGGGGCCGCCGCTGAGGCCCTGGGAGCGGCTCAAGGCCGTGGCCAGGAGCGTTACAGGAGACTTGTCACCTGAAGCGCAGGAATTTTTGGACCCCACAGCTTGAGGCCCAGGGCTGCTTCACTTCTGAACCATATCTCAGCCTGGTAATTTTGTGACGTCCGCAAAGGTCAGCTCTGCCTACACAAAGGTGGATTTGCTTCTTGTCGGGCACTTTGGGCATCGCTGGCCTGCCCCTGCTGAAGGTTTTTGGATTCCAGGTTGTCCAAATGCAGGTACCTCCATGCTCCAAAACTCCTAACACTGTAAACAAGCACCACGCGCGGTATGCGGGGGTCACAAGGCTGGGCTATTGAACTCCAGAAGGCCCTTGTTGGTCGAGCACGGGTAGGTCCTCAGCACGCGAACATGTCATGTCATCTCAAGTAGATCTTGAACTAACTTTTCGGTGGACGCCTCCAAGGCAGCACTGAGACGGCGGCTGGTGCGTTGGCCCAATGCAGTACGCGCCATCTCCTTCCACAAGCTTGTCTGCTCTTGCTGACATTCAAATAGAAACATGCCGCCATCCTTCGATTTACTTTCTGCAGCTGCACACGACCCATGTGCCCCCCCCTCCCAGGTTGGCCTGCACCTTGGACTGCAATTTGCCGAGACCTGGCTGCAGTGTGTTCAGGCTCATGGGCTGCCTTTGCACGGCTTTGCAACTTCTCGTTCAAGTTGCATATTCTGCTGTCAAGTCTGTCTCTGCGGTTGGACCTCCTCTTCACGCCGTCACATTCCTGGGTACAAGCGCTCCAGGCCTCAGCTGGCAGCTGGCCATGGCTGCTCATGGCGGCATCATAAAAAACGACAAGACTGTTTACGTCCACAACATGCTTCGGGCGACTTGATCGGCACCACCTAGAGCCTAGACTCTGCAATCGGGATGTGAGAGTCCAGCCGCCCACTCACCAAACTGGCAGTCCACGCTGCGGGTGCAAGAGATGTCTGGCAGCCGGGCAGCGGAAGCTAACACGCATATGCGTAGCAGTGCGTAGCAAGGCGTGACACTTTTTCTCTTACGCGTCATGAGCCCCTCGGCATGTACATCTTAGCCTCCTCGTGCCACTGGAAGAGATGTTCGGGGCACATTCCAGGGACGCCTCTTAGGCAAGTTGCCTCGCCGAAGTTGCAGTGTCCGAACTCACGGCAGATCAGGTCGTAATCGCGCTGATACACCTCAGTCGCTTCGAAGCATGCGAGCCAATGCAAGCATGGCAGGCATACGCAGAGGCAGACTCGAAAAGTCTCACGATCTCTGTCTCCCGCCTGACGGACCAAGCTCTTGGCCTCCTCGTCCAGCTCTGCCGCCCACACTTCGTCACAACCAGCCACGTGGCTAATCTCGCGGCAACGACATGAAGAACAACATGCCGTGCAAAAAAACGTTCTGCTTACATAGGGGACACTGTGGCGTCTTGCAGATGATGGCTGCTACTTAGTTTCTTGGGTACCTGCCTCGTCTGTCGCAATATGCAGATCCGGCGAATCATGCGCAGCGAAGAACCTTACAACTCAAGATATCCCAGCAACACAGGATTGGATACAAAGATGTGGAAAGGGAAAGGCAGGATGCTCTACCGATCAGCCTGAGGGATACTTCTGGCGGAGACTCTCGGAATTACTTCCATGTCTTGAAAGTCATGGATGGTCACTGGAACGAGTGCGGCTACAGTGGCTATGGCTCCTGAAGAAAATCACGCTATCCCGCGCATGGCTTGCAAGTTTGGACGCCTAACTAGGCAATCAAGAAATCCAGTACAAAAGCATGCCAAGGATCTTGTTCATCGAGAGTGGGAACAGTCGATTGTCAATGGCCTGCTGGGCACCAAATGGAGCGTCGAAGAATTCAGCCTGCCAGAAAAACGTGCATGCCAAGCCTGATTGCACTGCCACTCTGCAGCTCACGGTGGCTCATGTAACCGCCCTCTCATTCTTCTTCCATTGGCTGGGCACCCCTACTGGAGTGTGCAGGGGCTGCACCGCTTACAACTTAGAAAGACTGTCTCTGTCTCCCTTTCTCAGGCTCTGCATGGCTCGAAGGCTGTGCTGGCGCTGTGCCCTGAACCCGGCCGCGTGCGTCTTTTTTGGTCTTCCAAAGCCGGGGCATCGTTGAATGTTAAAATAGCCACCAGCGGCATCCCCTAGCAACATCAGCAACAGCCTCTCCAAACTCAACATCCCAGGGTCCCATGTCTGTCGCCCCCTGTCTTGACCTTACGCCGCCTGGCAGCTGTTGACGATTCCGTGGATTGCACAACCCAGCCTATTGGCAGCTCCCCTCTATCCATTCATTTTGGCCTTGGCCTCAAGCAATGATTTGCAGTCTGTCGACGCGTCCCCCCCTGTGTTCGAGCGCATGTCTCGAGACTGGCTGCCCTTGGCGCTCTGAATCTTGGTATGTGCTCATGTCAGGTCAGCAGGGCATGCATCCTTTCTGTTTCTCCACATCAGTCATCGCCTTCTGTTGCTTGCAGTTGTTGAAGTCAACATGACGCAGCAGCTGGTGTCGAGACCAGGGGGGTTCTGTCAGGCTGGAACTGCGTAATTGCGATAGGTGCTGGAAGTCAGAACTGGAAAGTTCAAACCAGTTCCCAGACTTTGCACAGCGAATTCCTTCGTATCTGGGATTGAGAATTTCAACATGTGCGGGCAGTTGCTTTCAGCAGCAACAGCAGGCCTGTGGCAGGTAGTTGCAGTTCTCGACAAAAGGATTCCCTGCAGCCAAAGCCGCCAAGTAGTTCTGCATCATCATCCTAGCTATCACTGCCCAAAGAAACAAAGAGGTTCCTGGAGCTCGAAAAAGCAAGTCCGAGCTGCTTGACGCCACGATTGACGTCGCATCCCAGTTCTGCGTGCTGGAACCTGCACATGCGGTGCATGACACTGTCTATGAGTGCGCATGGCATCTCAGCTTGAAGAAGGCCTGAAGCTGCCCCGGAACTGGGAGACCAAGCGCTCCAAAGGGTCGCGCAGAATGCCAAACGAGGTACCTCAAGATGGCTTAAATCAGCTCTCAACAGATTCTGGTCCAGGACGTCTATAGCTTGCTTAGCCACGATTTCCAAAGTAGGATTGTGCAAGTTCTGCAGGCCAAAGCTTGGGAGGCGTGTACCTGAACAGCTGGCTGCTGAGTACCGACTGATCTGTTGCTTGCAGTTTTGTCCCGCCTTCCACTCATGCATAGGTGTCTAAACATGGCTAGCCTGCTCAAGAATTAATGAATTCATCTGCAAATCTGCAGGGGCACATGAGGTTGCATCCTGTTATCTCCGATGTAGCCCAGCCCACACACCCCTGCATCAGCAGCACACGACTGGCATGTCAACAACACTCACCTTGATATGAAAACGGGCCACATACAACTCAACACTTGTTAAGCCTGCGCACCCCAACTTGGAATACTGCAAGGTCCTGTCAAAGGCTGGGCTGAGGGGGCTTTGTTGAAGATGAGGCCCCCTCACAAACGTTTGCGCTTGCTCTGGTCGAGGCCTGCTTTTGGCGTTATACTTTGTCGGGCCCGAGCAATTGCATTTCAAACAAGGAAACCTGAAAGTCCGAATCTGCGAATTCTAGAATCTCTTTCTCAAGCAAGTTTGCAGCCTCCGGCCTAACCATTCACCCTCGCCACCCAAGTTCTACAGCACCTTCACATAAAAAAGCTGGGATCATCGGCTCGTCTGCTGCATGTAAACTTTCCTGCCAACCAGCTTAATCCTCGGAACATGTTCTACAACCTTCTGGCATGTACTGAAGAATTATGTGGCCTTAATTAAGAGGGCAGGGAACCGTGGCTGCCTCTGCTGGGATTCGGGACCCGCAGTCGCCCCAACTCACGCCGTGCTGGGCTGCCTTCTCAGCCACAGTGTGGCCAAAGTTGAAGGGTACCTTCAAGCCGTCACTTGTCTGCCATCCATATGACGTAACATCAAGCAGGACGGAGCTAAACTGCAGAACTCTTGAAAACTTCAGTTGCAAGACAAGATACATAGACCATCACAAGCTCCTCTGTCTGTTTTCGCACTATTCGGCTTGTCTGCAGGAGGGAGACCAGCAGCTCAGGAGGCTCCTTAGGCTGTTAGATGCAAATTTTCGGGCTCATCTGATGCCGAAAATGACCAAAACCAAACTGCTGAAACATGGATTGGAGCGCGGCATCGCTGGACTCCAATGCCCATGCTGAACCAAGCAGAAGCCAAGTACGAAACGGTAAAGTCATATGCATGTTCTGCTTGGGCGAGAGGGACTTCTGAGCCAAGCTCGCAGTGACGGACGCTCACATGTTACTGGCATGCTGGCATAGGCTTGCCACCTGCCGCTGCCTATGCTACAACCACACAAACAAGCGAACCCCTCTGGCCTGCATTGCAGCTGGCATGCTGCTGTGAGGCACCGGACACAGGACGGCCGCAGCTGGGCAACAGGCGCGAATCACGCGATTGGCACTCCCATCATGAAAGAGCTACACTCACTGCCCATAGGCTTGGAAACTGCGATTGTCCACTACACCCAATGCACGTGAAGCATGCTTCCAGGGTTGAAGGTAAAAAGACATGCTTCCTGGGTTCACGATATAAAGGAATCGCTTGACCTCTCCAGTAGATCGCTAGACACTCAACCGGAGATTTGAGGTCTGGACTCACTTGCCTGTCGAATGATCTTGCGCGAGCGCCAAGTTATCCCACCTCATTTGAAAGATTGGGGCCGCCAAAATGCAGACTTAAGCTGCAAGGCATTAGCATTATCTTAGACCTGTGTATTAGACCTGTAGTAGCACATGGTGACACATGGTGTGCTGACCAAACAAAGCAAGAGGAAGGGTGGGCCTCGGCAGGACACAGAGCATGGCTCCCATTCCTTCACAAGGATACGGCTTGCAGCTGCTTCATTGCTAAGCTGAAACCCTCTGTGACAAAAGGTAAGGATGCCCATCTAGCCCATGAGACACTGCCCTAGTTCATCACTAGGACTCAGCTATCTTCCACCCTAATCTGCGAAATGGACCAGACAATGCTTCTGCACGGAGATTGCAAGTCCTGCCATGGAGACCACATGGCATCCACGCACTCATCCTCTGCACACTTCCTGAATCAACATGACAGGACTACTACTGATCTGTCGAATGGGGCATCGCTGGTGCATCACACAACGTCAGTCTCTGGCTGCGTGTTGCACGGCTCGATCTGCTGCTTGTCAAACGGCTCGCACGGTCTTGGGCCGGAACACAATCAGCCCCACCGAGTTCCAAGCCGCAAGCAAGTTTCAGCTTCGAACGTGCATCCAGGCTCGGGAGCTCGGTCGATGTGTCTGGTTCGCGTCTTTTGACCTAGCACGGGTCCGAGCACAGCAGCTTGGCTCCGTGGAGGCCAGCAGCCAGCTTTTAGTCATTTTACTCATTGTAGCCGCTGCAGCGCACACCTCCGCCACACTCGCACGTGCAGGCGCTCCAGTCTGACCAGTCGCGCCAAACCTCAACGAACCAGGGAGAGAACGCCCTCTTGATCCCCTCCAACATCTCCAGCTCCTTCAAATGCTGTAAGCACCCAGCACATCCGCAATCAGACGGAGGACAAGCCTGCAAGCGGCGCGCCTCTCAAACAACCAAGAAGTGTTGAGAAGTGAGGTGCTACGAGGGGTTACACACTCTTCATACATGTCTGCAGGCAGCACCGTAAAGCTTCCGTACTCGCGCGGGCATGGCTTCATCTCTGCCATGGGCATATCGCAGCCTCAAACCAGGAAGCAAATGAACCTCAGACACCTCGCGACATGAGACTCTTCTAGCTGAGCACAGGGCCAGAGCCGCCCTCCTGAGCGAAGAAAGTGACTCTCACATACTGTCACACTTCTCAATTCTCGAGCAGACTTGCTGCTATTTGCTGCGGCTATACCCTCGGCACCTCTGCCAGGTGAGTAAAACTCCGACGCCTCTCCTTAGGCAAGTGCCATCAAATATCTTTGAAAGCGCAGCACTGACACCGGCCAAGCTTGCGGCATGGATGCCATTGCCACAGCTGTTGCTGCACTCGCCCCAGGCAGACCTTTGCTGCGTCAGCAGAGAAAACGAGGGTGCAATGATGCAATCTAGAGTAGACTTTTGTTGCTGCCACCCAAGTTGGCACAGAGCGCGATGCTTTGTAAACTCAGCACCCGACCATTCGGACACTTCGCAGCTCGTTGTTTGACCTGTCAGCACGTGCTTACCAAGCTGCAGTTCTAAGCGCATGGACGAACACGGTGAGGCCGAGAGCTTCTGGGGCTAGCACAGGGTTGTTGGTTGCAGCCCTGCGTCCTTTGGCAACTTGCGCTTGGAAGACGCAAGTTTCAAAGAGTTTGGACATCTCAGGGCGCAACTCCACCAGATCTTTGAGGCACCTGAGAATGAGGAGCAGGCACCGGTGAAACAGAGCCTGCTTGGGCTACCCTCGAATAACGTGGCGACAACAGGCGCTGTTTCGTGTTGCTCAGTCCACGTCCGGAATCCAAGCGCACGTGGCACCGTATTGACGTCCATCACGACACGGGCCCGGGTGCCAGACTGCTTTCCGCCATTCTGGGGGTTTTGGGTCACCTGGCGGTTGCGCTCCTGCTGGCCACCGCCACAGCCTAAGGTCACGTCAGTCCAAAATCGTAGCAGAATAGCTGGAGCCTGCAGCTGGGTTCCTGGGCTCTTATCACACTCATCCCACGGCGCCCACGGAGACACCTTTTGTGTTGACACGCTGCATCCTTAAGACGTCCGAGAATATTCTTAAATTGTTGGAGTCTTGGACAGATCAGCGCGCAAGCTTAGACCAAGGTGCCCTGACAGCAAAACACCATCACCTGCCTGACAGTCAATCCGGTCACCACAGCTCTTGATCTCAGTCAGGGAACCTCCCAAACGTGCACGATAGCTGACCCACAAGTTCAAGAACTCTGACCGCTTCCCCATCTCGCCTAGCGCAGGCTTGCCCCCGCAGGCAGAATGCTGTTGCACCTGTTGTGGACAAAACAACGATATGATTTTCATTTCCATCGCTGCCAGATTGTCCAAATCCCCTCACCCTGGCGCATTGCGTCGGGTGCTCTTGCGACTCTCCAACAGCAAGAATCAAGTCTCGGAATAAGGCGGGAGCTTGAACAAGTCGAGTTCGCAATAGAAGATGTTTGAGACGTCTTGCTTTGCAGGAATGGCGGCATAATAGTTCGCATTCAAATTAGGCGGATTAATGGGCGGCACGGTTACAAGTGAAGTCCTGCAGGTGTAAGGGCACTGCACCTCTAAATGCAAAATGCTTCTCTGCTACGTGGGTAGGACATGCCAGGACTATAAAGTATGTATTCCCCCATGCTCCCCCAAAAGCTCTATCTGGACACGTAAATATTTCCCCCCTGCCCAACTTGGCTGTGAAACTGGTTTTCCTTCCGATCTCTTGCTATCAAAATCTGTCTCTTCCTTCCCTCTTCTTCTTCTACTTGTGTCTCTCCGTCTCTTCTTCTTCTGGCTTTGCTGACGCCCGGAGGAGTGACTGCTGTGCCCTTCCCCGGAAGGAAGGGCCGGGGCATTGTCCCAAGCAAGCGCGGTCCGAGAGCTCGACAACCGTGGCTGGCCCCGATGACTACACATGTACCCAGACACGCAGAAGGAAAGTAATATTAATCAGCCCAGATCCGGATAAGTACTCCACCCTTGCATTTGGGTTCATATGTTTCATCGCTACAACCTCAAGCGTGACACCTCCTCACTCGGTCAACACGGCCCCATTGACCGCATCAGCTGTACACCATAAAAGACTATCAGGTCTCCGGACATCATGCGCTGCTGGCATAGTCTCCAAAGTATGCCTCTTGCGCCACCCTGGAACCAGAATCGAGGATCAACATGGAAACTAAAAACCGAGTAGGAGGTTCACACTACTTTCAGCATCAGGCATTCGATATTTGGCTGTTGGCGGGAGCACTACCTCAAGCTTCGGCTAGCCATCACAGCAACACAATGCAGCCTGAATGCCCTACTGGCACTCATCAAACTATAACCTCCAGCCGAAGACAGTGGCGTCGGGTGCTTTCACCCTCCAGAAATAGGGATCGCAGCAACTTCCAACGACACAGCTATATTGGATCCTGAAAGAGAGCCATACAACTACGGTCCAACACGGCAACATGTACCAAACCCCTGGACTGCCTGAGCACAACTGCCTGCCCCTGTGAAGTTGTGGCTGCTTCCCGAGCCCCTGCTACTCCGATGCCCATGCACGCCTCGGTTGGCCCCCTTTTGTCAATGGCACTGGTAACGCAACAACTTAGCTCCAGCCCCGAGGAGAAGGCACATATTTCTTGTTACGAGATCGTGTCTTCTGCCCATTGGCGAAATCTAGGTTGAGGCGACCACCGCGTGCTTCAAGACTCAACAGGAGTGCTTTATCCTTTACAAAGCATCAAGAAAATTGGGAAATCAGCCAACACGCAGGCGACATACGGGAAACCTATGCCACACAGCCCCTCCAGACAGTAGGCCACGATTCGAGTATACACATGAGGGCCATGCTCTACCTCTAGATTCCCCCTGGGCACATTCTCCACGCGGGAAACAGCTTTCAGTATGTTGTAGGCTTCGCCAACGGAACTATGCAATCACAGAACGAACTCTCTTTCTTTCTTTCGTTCGGGCTATGGAGGAGGACCGGGGTCCCCGTTTGGGCGTCAATGCCCAGCCCGTGTTGGGCTGTCAGGTCGGTCGGTTTACCCCTCATAGTTTCGTGGTTGGGTTACAGACTTGGACCCATAGTAGCATAGTTATGAGCCACCCATCCACCGAAACTGATGTCCTTGCAGGAAGTTTCCTTGCAACCAGGATTCATGGTGTCTCAGGCTTTTTGCCCTGTTGTCACAGCCAGCTTTGGGAGCAAGGGGATAGGGGAACTTATTCTTCTCACTGTGCTACCCCCTCCCGGAGGAGGAGGCTGGGGCAGCGCCCCACACAGGACGGGCCTCAGTCACAACGCAGCTCTGAGCCAGGCCCCGACTAGCGATCATATGTAGGGCCGCGAAGACTCTTGCTGAACCATACAGCCCCGGTCGCCTACATACTGACTGAAGAGTAATCCCTTGCGGCCTGCATATGAACCTCATCGCTTCTGACCCACGCGTGAGAACATCCACTGCCCTGACAGCTCGCTTGGCCGTCACCTGTACTAGCAGTGGGTGATGCTCCTAGTGCCGGCCCCATGCTGGACCCCCATGCAAGAGTCTCCTATTTGCTTCACGGACCCCTACTCCTACCGCCATCCAATACTATAGTCAGCCAGCTTTGCACAGGGTCAGATGCCACATGGCCCATGGTGATTTGTTGCCCTCACGGCATCATGGTCATGCTTAGGGCCGCGCCAACACTGCCACAAGAGGCCCCGGCAAATGTCTAGGACCCAAACACACTGCAGGTAATGGTACACCAGTATCCCTAGCTAGAAGCTCCGGTCGGCCTCTTCCGGCATGTGAGACGCACGCATATCAGGCCTAGCCAAATTGACAATGCGAACCCTCTAGAAAGCTTTTTCCATAAAACCCAGATTAACCCCCAACCCCATGCTGGACCTGACATGGTATTCGCTCCGAAGCCTCTGCTCTGCTGGCAGCGACTTCAGGGTGTTGGGACAAAACTGTCTCGCAAAGAGGCCATGCTACTGCGTTGGATTGAAGCAGTACCTAAGTCCTAGCTAACCAGCTCAAGCCCACCGCAGCTAACAAGCTCCTTTCCACGCGGAGACGAGCAGTCACTGTGAGTGCAATTCGGTAGCTAGTTACCCAACCACTGCACACTTTTGGGTTCGACCACCTTCAGAGTACATTATGCACCAACAAAGTTACGCCCCTGCCCCGTAGGGGAAGACCAGTACTTCTTTTTACAAGGCTCTTGGTTTTTGTTTTGTGCCCATTGGCCTTGTCTAGGTTGCGTGGCCTCCCCCTTGTGCTCCATGCGTGAACCGGCAGGACTAGACTGCAAATGCTCCAGGAGACAACATGTAAACCAGCATGCTACCAAAGGGCTACTCTCCAAATGCATCATCCTCAGGCAGCTCACGCATGCAAAGTCTGTGCACAATGGACCTCGCAGATCGCTCCTGGTCTTACAGTGCATAGGAAGGCAACCCCTGCTACGCAATTGGATCCTGCAGTGACAGATTAGGCTACACCCCAGGAGCTTGCTGAGGACGCCATGCGCAAGACTGGGCATCCCGAAATGTCTCGCAGCACTTGGCTGGGTGTTGGCCTGAGTGTAAGGTCGGCCCATGCAGTGCGACCATGGCCCCATAGCACTTCTCACAACACATGCTAGCCTAGCAGGCGACACCAAGCAGAAACAAGGATGGACCTTGCAGCGCGCCCATGGTCCAAAAGCGCTCATGGCAGTCGGCTTGGCCTAGTTATTTGGGATAAGTTGGTCAGACCGCTACTTTCAAGGTCAGGCCTTTCAGTGCGCCCATGGCCCAAAAGCGCTGTTGTGCTGAGCAGGTGGAAGTCACGTCACATCACAAAGGAACAATAGGGGGACCGGTAAGTATAACCAACCAGGAGCCCTTGTACGCTCAGCGACTGCCTCCTCCCGTGCTCCTGTCACGGTGCATGCTTTACTGCGCCTCGAGATAGCAAGTCATGAACTTCATTCCGGAATAGTGTGCAGATCCCACCATACCATCACAACACAGAAAAGACCGACCCTAAGGATAACCAGAAGCTCAAGCTTGCAACCGGAACTCTCTCTCTCTCTGTCTCCCTCTCTTGCTTTGCTTTGCTGCAAGGGAGTGACAGGACAAGCCCTGCTGGCCTATGGCCCCCCCTTGTGTCACTGTCCTCCGTCATTTCGCGAGAAATGGGGGTTCCTTGCGGAGCAATTGATTTAACAAGGCCGATGTTCAACAGCATAAGCAAGACCACAAGCAAACCGCAATCATAAAACGACATAGGCTCCCTTCCACCCCTGGTAGGAAACGTGAAATCAGCTCGGTTCCCAGGATAACTCGATTAATAAGATGGGCTCGGCCAGTGGCCACGTTTTGGTTTGATGGTTGAACAAGTTGGCTGTTCTCAGGAAAGCGATGGCTCCACATTGCAGAGGTTCTTGCCATCACATTACTGCTGTTCAGGCCATTGCTTAAGATGGGAAAGCACTCGGGCATGGCTTCCAAGCAAATGTTAATTAGGTTAGATCTCTGGTTCAAACGTGCAACTACTTGGGGACACAACCGGCAGGCTGCAGCTCTTCCACAAAGAGGTCTATACATCGAATGCTGGTTTCTCTCAGTAGGTCTTGTCGCTGGTTCTCTGTCTTCATGTCTGTCGATTCCACGCTTTTCCTCTCATCTCTTTTGTCACCCCTCAGTGTCCGCCGCGTTGCTGGCAACATCCTGGAACGTTCTGGCAATCAAAAACATGCTTCGATTAACGGCCTCCGCAAGGCTGCTGTTGCTCGCAGATGACACACTTCTGGGTTGTTTTGGTAGGCTTTGCACCCCCTCACCGTCGCTGCCTCGGCTCGAGGGGTCATTCTGAATGTAACCTTGCTGTTTGAGCTGTTGCCTCTGCGCACCCCCACTGGAGAGCGCTGGAATTACCACGTGCCCCATGCGGTTCAGTCCTCAGTTGTCAGCCCTGTGAGGCCCGGAATACTGGAACCCACACCGAACCAGACTAGTGACTAGTACGTAGTCTCGAGTCTCTATCTTCTTCTCACAACTCTTTCTCTCTGTCTCTCTGTCTCTGTTTCTCTCTTGCCCTTCTGGCCACATTCTGATCCAGCCTTCCGCTTCCTGACATGCATCCCGGTGTCACAAGAGCTCCACTCCTCCCTGGGAATTGTTGCGAAATAAAGCATGGTCAAACAAAAGGTGATCGCCAACAGGCAAAAAAGTCCATGCTGAGCCAAGGTCCACTGCGAAAAAGCGGCATCTGTCACTTCGCCTGACAAAATTCAGCATGTCTTGCTGCTCCCAGCGATACTTCACCTACCACACCAGCATGTCGTTGAGCTCAGACGCTGAGCTTCGCACATGGACAGGGCCCCAGATTGCAGGGCTCTAGCAGCGCCAGTGGGCCCTTGCAAGCCCTTGGCAGTCCAAGCTTGATCAAAGGCGAAAGGCTTTCACGAACCGGTGTTTGACTGTGCAGGTATAAGCCTCAGGGTGGGGCTGGCCACCCCCGCTGGCCTGGACTTCAATGGTTCGCGACCTGCGACAGCAAACAGCAACCGTCTGGTTGGATTCAGGGCAACAAGTCCTTTCAAAGCTAATGTGAAGGTTATGAATTCTACGGGGACAGTAGCAGCTGCAATGATATCATTGCTGGAATCAGTAGTGATGCCTGGTACGGAGCCCACTTCCGCAGGACGATGTGCAGGCGGACCACTCCCCATAAGCTGAGAGCCTGGCATTGTACGCATTGTATACTTGTTGTAATCAGTGACAAAAAAATATCTTGAGTAATGCCGGGCGTTCTTCACATCAAAGCTGTACTGACCACAAATCATAAAGGGGCCGCTTAGTTGTTAAGCAGTGCTGGGAATTCTTCACAGCTAAGCTTTGCGTTTGACAGATGATCACTTCCGATCTGAATCACAATGTGCTGGCTCTGCTCACAGTCCGCCACGGCATCTGCTGCTTGCGAGCACCTGACAGTGCAAAAGCATGGTTCGTTGCGTCTAGCGGGCGCAGAATTGCAGCTCAGTTGCCCCATCGTCTCGCGGATCACGCCATTGCAGGGCTCCCTGGAGATTTCAAATAATACGTCAATGCATGTTGTTGCGGGAGGCGTGCCGAAACATGGCGAAACAGCAGCAGGCTTCAGCCGACGGATCACTGCCGTCCACATCTCCATCTGAGACCCATGCCCTCCATTTGCCGCAGCTCTCACGACCTGAGCCAACCCACTTGCAACAACATGTTCGATGCGTTGAATGCAAATGATTGCAAAATTCCAAACGCAAAGCCATCACCTCAGCACCACACAGCACGCTCGCGTTGCCTTTGATCAGAGGAAGCGAGGCACCTGGAGTGGGAGCCCCTTCAGCCTTGAAAGGAACTCTGAGCCAGATAAAAGCAAAGGCAGCAACTCCGTCGGCTCCCAGAGGCCCCAATCACCTCAAGAATTTCAATCAATGCAGACTCTCTCGCTTTACGCGTTGAGTTTGCAGCTCGTTTATGGAATCGCACGGAGTCGCAGGTCATGAGCGGCTCCAGGGCTCAGGCCCATGAGGCAATCCACAGGCTCCGTGCAATTTTTCCAACACCTCAGCAGACGAGCTCTTGGCCTCGATATGTCTCAATGCCAGGGATGCCGTTGTTCCTCTGGCTGGTAAGGTAAACCTCCAACACTTCTATCAGCCGGCCTCTTCGTCTCCACCAACAATCCAGAGCAAGGTATGCCGCCACACCTTACTGACTGGTTTCGCAGGGTTCTCCAACTTGTTCCAGCTCAATCCCACGTCTGCAATGGAGTTGTGAATGCTCTTTTCCCACTGCACTGCTGCCTCGAGTCAGAAGAGGTCGGCACTCCAATTTCTCAACCCATCTCAGCCATGCTGTCTGGAAGAACCCTTACAAACGTCTACGACTTTGATAAGACACAACAACATGGCTTGCTTCTAGACCCTTGCGTGCTGAGACGAGCACACCATATCACAAAGCCCAAGGTGCACCCAGCCTAATCCTAGCGGGGCATGCTCGTCTGGACAGTGCGCATTGCAAAAACTGAATTGATGGAGCTCCTGCATGCTGACTCGCAAAACATGCGGCAATCACTGACTGAGAATACTCTGGACTTCATCAGCATGTCATCGTAGCGCAGACTGCTCCAGCGCAATGGTGTGCAGCAGGTTCTGCCATGCGAGCGGAGATGCAGAGTGCTTTTGCATGGGACATCAGCACGCAATCAAGGAATCCTGAACAGGAAACACTCTTCCCTTGCGAGGGCACATACGAGTCATGCCGGCTGAGCCCTCGGTTTAGATATGCATGCTCAACGGCGACACCTTTCCTGTCGGAATCTTATGCATCGATTTTGCCGCCGAAAGATGTGGAACGCGTTTTTCGGTGCCAAGCATGGATGTCTGGAACCCCCTTCTCTCACTGACAATAAGCTCTCCTCCATGTTTGTTTCCGGGCTTGCCCTTTTCTCTTGAGCACTCGCGGCAACGTGGGAAGAAGAAAACAGTCTGCGCACAGAAGCCAAGGCAGGTAGCTATGGCGAGAGCTCGGTGCCTCCCCCATCAGCTCTGAAACTTCAAGTCAAACCCAGTCTCGCACTTAACTTTTAGGAACAAGCTGGGGCAGCCAATTTCGTCAGTCCGCAGCCTTTGCCCTTGGTGAAACATCTTATCGAGTCAGACAAATGACATACGTCGCGAGTAGAAACCTCAAAAACAGGAAGGCGACCGAAATCAAGGAAATTTCCCCTCGTTTCGTACTGGGTGACAATCAGAGTTTAGCCAAGCAGCCCGATTCGTTGTCTGCATTGAATCTGAAAGGTTTAAGGTGAGCGGCTTGCGTCACTTGGCGCCGGAGCACTTGCGTTCTGGGCGAAGGTGCAAGTTTGGAACTTGGCGCCAGCGAAGACTCACCTCTGGAGCTCAACCGCTCCATGATCTGGTTCAACTTTTTGTCGAGATTCTTCATGTCCGCATGCATAACCACCTGGTCTATGGCCTTGGTCTCCAGCGCACTTCAAGTTCTCACATGTCTCTTGTATCCACGCTAAGTGCGACAGAAAACGCAGATCGATGAATGATGACCCAACAGCTGGCTTGAATCCCGAACATGACTCCAGGAGTATTGCGTTGAATAGTAATGCATCCAAATGCCCGACCCGCTAAGATTGCAACAGGCAAATAAAGGCTAGCTCAGCCAGACAAATTAGACGGATGTATGGCAGCAAGTCGCCTGACAGCCCGAATCGATTCCAGAACTGCAGCAGCAACAACTGCACAAGTGCGTGATTCAAGCTCAACTCCAAAGGCAACCCGGTAATCACAGCAAGTCCAGGAGTTTAGTGCTGAGTGGTCACGCGAGCCGGCCCCTTGCACCTCATCAGCCCGTCTATAAACTCGTCCAACGTCACCTCAGTTGTGCGAGAGAAAGAGAGAAGTAAATGTCAGGAGCGCCACTTAGTATTCGAGCAGCCGATTCGCTACCACCACGACGTCGTCACCGTCATCATCATCATCATCATCATCATCGGCAGCAGCAAATGTATCAGCATCAACACCATCGCCGCTGTCATCACCATCATCAGCATCATCATCGAAATTGGCAGGTGTTGACGAAAAGGAAAGGTAGCAGGCTTTGAACAGCAGTTGTGGGAGTGGACACTGGCGGCTTCCATCCACAAGGAAAGAAGGTCCCCATCCAGCGGCACAGATAAGCAGTAAACACTGATGACTTGCACGTGCTACTTATACTTGTAGCTGCTGTGGCAGCAGCTGCAGACACACAGCTTCCACATCCGCAGCAAGGAAGAAACGCCACCGTCAGCACCACCACCACTACCACCATCATCATCATCATCCTCAACATCGAATGTTAAACAATTGCCATGACTGCTTCCGCATCCCTGGTACCAGGTGGCGCAGTCTGTCGGTTGCATATCGCAACCACGATCGCCAGCACTGTTATCAACATCATGGTCATCATTGGGCTGTTCAACGCACTATCACTACTCAGCTATTCCTCACCTCAAACCTGATAGTGTTTCAGGCTGCTGCTAGTCCCAACACTGTAAGCAGAGCGGTGGCCTCTCCATCACCATTGTCCAGGATGTGGAAGAGCGCATGGCCCTCGTGCACATCCAAGTCCAAGGTTTGCAGGTAAGCGATGACCTTGGGTTCTCTTCGCATCAAATTGTGGACAGCATGTACGTGTGATCTGCTGAGGCATCTGCACTTTTCTGGCTCAGAATGTGCCGGAGCTGCTCCTCGGTGATGAGGCCTGTTTCCGATTTGTCGATGGCACGGAAAACGCCTTCCAACTTGGCGGCATCCTCATTCCGCTGCTTGAGGCGGGTCACCACCATGTGTTCCGCATCGTTCTGAACTACATCCAAGGTGTCCTCAGGGTCATTTTGCACCCTGAGGATCCGGCCTTGCCGGTCAAGATAACTGGTTTACTTTAACAACAGCCTGTCGCACCTTCAAAAAAATTGCGGAGATCACCCGAATCAGCGCAAATACTATGATTGTTATGTAGGCAAGGAAGAAGAGCGCGAATACTGGATCAGCTTTCTCCATGACTGGCCGCGCGTTTGTGGGCCAGTTTCCTGCAAGCTCAGCTCAGGTTTGGTGTAACGAGGCAATCCGCAACACTTCTGGGGGCTACCTTTTTTTAATGTGAGGTAGGCTTCAGATAGCGCAAGGTTTTCTTCCCAGCACCTGCGCCTTTCCTCGCACACCCTTCCCACCTGTTGCATTGCTGGCATGTTCTAGGATCTGACGTGTATGCGGTCCTGCGAAAGTCACTTCATATAAAGTCCATGCAGATCGTTGAGATGTGCCATAGTGTTCCCACAGCCATTCACGGTCCACTTGCTCCATCATCTCATCCAAAATGAAAACTTGCAGAGTGTTTCCCAACGTCAACGCTCCCATGGCCATGAAGACTGCAAGCAGCACCATGGACCAAAAAAGGGATGGAAGAAAGCAACGACAGGCCTTCACAAGCACTCTCAAACCTCGAACGAAGCGAAAGCTCCGCAGAATTCGGACAGCCCGCAATGATTTCAGTGCTCGAGTCAGCTTCAGGAGAGCCACATCCTGCAACAGCCAATGCTCGCAGAAGCGCGCACCATAAACTTTAAAGGGTCCCTGCCATGCTGGCTGAATTTCACCCCGTGACATTCATCAGGTGGGCACGAATCTTGTGACTGTCATCAGGAGGCAGCTGCCCCCACATTAGACAAGCTTGTCCACTACGAAAACAGCACGACAGAGTGTGAAGTCAGATGTGCCCGCAGTTAGCTACAGCTACAAGATCTACAGTCTACAGAACCTACCTTACCTGGGAATCGTTTTTGCAACTCCCCCCTGAAGTGGGTCTAAGCGGGCAACTGTACAACGCTACACAACAGGGATGACGCACGGAGGCGGGACTTAGAAGCTGGTGGGTGCTCCTGCCTTCCTGTGGGAGGCGGAATGTTTGCATCAGTATTTCCAGCACGCAATGTCATAGATAGATGTTACTGTTCGGGCTTGGCTCTGACCCGACACAGTACTCACTATGGCGTCGGAATGCAAATTGCGTCTACCGACAATATGTAGAGTTAACGATGAGTCTGTTGGCCAGTTGGAAGCAGCGAGACAAAGCGTTCACGCGCTTTTTACGTCTTTAGCCACATGAAGTTGAGCTGTATGTCTGCAGTTGGCTACACTTCCATGATCTACAGAACCTACCCGAGAATCGTGTTCTTACAACTTGTGTAAGCAAAGTCCACCCAGCCGTTCTAGTGTGTCATAGCGACTCATCTGCATCTTCTAAGTTTTGCTCAGGGAGCAGGCAGCAGTCCTCCTCTCGCACCTGGCCGCCAGTAAAAGGCTTGCTGATGATCATATCAACAAAGCCAAGCGCGACCAAGACCCCGTCAAAGACATTGGCAAGGTCCTTCCCGCTTCTGTTGAATGGCTACTGAATGGGTTCCAGTCCTGTGACTACAATTCCTTAGAGTCCTCAACCCTTACAGTGAGTGGGAGTGGCTTGGGGAACTTAAGACAGAGTGCGGGAAGGTCAGAGTCTGTCTACGGAGATCGTTCTGACACACGGTCCAGGAAGAACTTCAGCCCGTCGAAGGCAAGTCGCATAAGTAATTCCACCAAGAAAACCAGCACAAAAATAGCATCGATCCCGCGCAGCGTGGGCAAATAGGCTCGCAAATCTTCGCCGGACGGCAGACCAACTTCAAAAGCAATAGATCGCCCTTCCACTTCAAGCTCGGCAATCAAGACTATGGAATTCAGTAGGACCATCACGCCAGCGATGTAGTCAATGTAACGCCGCAATGTCGTTAGAAGCCTGTGCTTCAGCAATGACGTATGCTCATCGCTTGTAAGGAAATTGTGGACTTGTTGTGTTACCTGTGACGGTCGGCGCCTCTTAGGCACAGCAGCAAAGCTTTCGGTTTGGAAGGATCCAGATGCTGAAACTGGCTCCTCTGTCTCGTCAACGACTTCCAAGGCTTTGGGAAGGGTGAGATCTTCGGGAGGATCAGGAACTGGATCCACAGTCTCTGGAATGTGCGGTCGCCATGTTCCAGGCAGGTGGCTGAGGCTTATCCCCAGGTCCATGCTTGTCACCCCAAGACTGTAGCTCTCAACAGCAGAACCAGAAAGCGGATGGAGCGCCCCTTAGCTGCTCAGTGTACCCTATTCAGCACATGTCAGGGGTCAGAAGGGGACAACAAGCAATAACTGACACACCCAGGTGTGAACACGCGCAGCTTCACGCGAAACCAATCTGCACGGAACGTGGATGCTTGCACTTTTCGTACATGTTGTTCATACTTCGCGAAGCAGTCAGTATTTCGTGCCTTCGGATGCTTGGCCTGCCCAGCAACTGAGGAGCAGGCCTTGGCTCCTCTCCAATCTCTCACGTGCAGTGCAGAGTGCTTTTCGCCAAGACTCGTGCTCCTCGGACAAAAAATTTAGGAGTTAGACCTGTACCCCCCCAAATGCACCCCCCCAAGTTTAGAACCCTATTAGGCCTTGCTAAGCTCCATGTAGTCCTTGTTAGTTCCTTAAACCCTGGGGGAGTACATTTGGGGGGGTTGTATTGTAACTCCTAAAACATACCGAGGGCTACGGGCAAGGATGCATTGCCTATTTGCGGGTTCCTGACTCTTGCTTATAGTCTTGTCCAAGAAGTTTTGACAGGAGGTAGGCACCAGAAAAATGTGCAAAGTTCAGGAGAGCAAGTCCAGCCGAGGCTTGCGCAAAATGTCATAGGTCAGGAGGAGAGACGAGGCTTCAAAAAATGAGAACTGCTTAACGCTGGGGGAAATTAAGTCTGTAAATCCACATTGCGCCGTAAGGTCTTTAATTGTTTCCTACTGTCGTGGTAGTCGTAGTGGTACTCGTAGTAGTAGTAGTAGTAGTAATAGTAAATCTTCTTGAATACTTCACGCAGAGCATGGATGTCGTCTTTGCATTTCTTGGCTAAAAGGTGAGTTTCTAGGATACCTCAAGCGAAGCATCTCGTCTTTGTGGGCAGACGGGCCACAAGCTAGAGACGTGCTGTAGCTATGCTGCTGAGCTCATCAGACGCCTGAAGGCGTAGCTGGGAAATGCTGCGAACACGCCGCACTCGACTCTCCTGGGCAGCACGGCCAGCATTTCCCAGGTGCGCCTTCAGGCGTCTGAGGAACTCCGCAGCATAGCTACGGCACGTGTCTTGCCTGTGGCCCGTCAGCGCACAAAAACGAGATGCTTGGCTTGAGGTATCCTAGAAACTCACCTTTTAGCCAAGAAATGCAAAGACGACATCCATGCTCTGCGTGAGCCCTCCAAGAATCTTCAATTCTTACCCAGACAAATACAAAGACGATATCGATGCTTGCAAAGGTCCCGCGTACTAGCCACTACTAGCCCTACAATGATATTAGCAAGAAGGGTCCCCATACTCTCCCTACCAAGCTTCACCATACTAGCCTCGAAAACCGACTAGCAGAAAGGGTTCCCAAAAAACATCCTCAAATTTGGCATGGCAAAATTGCCGTGATTCGTCATGACAACGAGCATTGTGAACAGAAGCATTATCATTAAGAGCACAGGAATGCTGTGCCCATAGCAGTAGATAAGAGGCTTCATGGGATGGCCCCCCCCCACAGGTCTAAAAGCTGCTCAGCAAGACGGGTCCCCTTGTGAACCTTGAAAAACAGCAGCTAGAAGGGTCCGAAGGTGGATTGGGAAAAATTGACGTTCACAGCTGCTTGCAGTCACCATGACAGCCATGATTGTTGTCAACATTGTGAAGCTTCAAAGACACGAAGTACCGTAAATATCAATACGTCAGAGGCCTAGTCAAATGCCGAAAAACATGTCAGGATATCTTGTTGCAGCCATCATGCGCATGATCATGATGCCTGTGCTTGCGGTGTGTTTCGTCCACCTCGACGCCCAGGTCTCCACGGTAGGTTTTCGTGGTGAAAAAATCATGACCGCCAAGAAAATACTGCAAATACCAATGGCTTTGCGGCAAGCGTCATTTGCCCTTCTTGACGAAAATTCAGAATAATGGGGCGTCAGATTGGTACGGAACACGCAGCAGCAGCAGCAGCAGCAGCAGCAGCAGCAGCAGCAGCACTAGTATTAGTATTAGTAGTAGTATTAGTAGTAGTAGTAGTAGCAGTAGTAGTAGTAATAATATTAATAGTAGCAGTAGTAGTAGTAGTAGTAGTAGTAATAGTACCGCAGCAGTCGTCGTAGTAGTAGCAGTTGATGTTATAGTAGTATTACTGGTAGTCAAGAAATTCAGTACTAGTAGCAGAAGTGGAAATTTACGCAGAAATCGAAGTTTTCGTTGCTCTTCACGACTCTGACCGTATGGTGAGTGTCGTGCATCGACGTTTCGACATTCTGCCCGAAAAGTCGAAAAGTTAAACTTTTTGCGAAAAGTGAAATGTTCTGCGAAAAGCTAAAACTTGGTGACGTTTAGCCCGAAAAGACGAGAAGAGCAACTTGTTGCAAAAGTCCGAAGTTGCCCGAAAAGTCGAAAAGTCAAACTCTTGGCGAAAAGTGAAGTCTTTGCAAAAGTAAAACTCGTTGACTTTTGGCAGGAAAAAATGAAATGTGCAACTTTTGCTGCAAGTTAAGCTTTTTGAGATTCTGCCCGAAAAGTCGAAAAGTGAAACTTTTGTGAAATGCGATTCTTCCAAAAAGTAAAACTTATTGACTTTCTGCATGAAAAATCGAAAAGCGCACTTGTTTGCGAACTGCCCGAAAAGTCAGAAAGTGCATTTTTGCAAAAAGTTAAACTTTTTGAGCTTTGCGCGACAATTTTGCGGAAAGTAAAACTTGTTGACTTGTTGAAGGAACTATCGGCATTCTCCGGCTGAGGGAAGCCACGGCCAGTGGCGAGCTTAGGCAAAGCAAACGTGGTAGGTGTGCTATCTTATATCCGAAGCAGCAACATCAATTGGCAAGGCTGCATGTATGCCTTGTAGCTTCGCCATCAAAAGAAGCTGTGACAACGCTTCTTTACCTGAAGTGAGGGCAGCGCAGACTTGCAGCCCTGGAACGTTGAGCGCAGGTCTTGAAACTTGATAAGCTGAAGCCACTGAAGCGACTTGAGCATCCAACCAATTCCTAGCTTGCTCCAACATTTGTTGGTCCTTCTCCGCATGCTCCAGCAAAATCTTCTGTTCCTCTGCGAACGCCTGCAACAAGTCCTGCGGGCTAGCGATGAAGTGGTATCAACATGAAACATCGCCTAAATGAATTGTTCGGCCTTCGGAATTGTGTTTTCCAGCTTCACAAGATCCTTCAGCTGTCCTCCGCAGACGAGAAAGCCTGATCGGCGGAGTTCGCATCCGACAGCGAAAGGGTTGCCATTGGACAGCGCACCCTTCACTTGGTAAGGCTTGATGCTGTATGCAGGCTGAAGGAGCATGAGTGATCACCGGAGCCTGGAGATGTGCAAACAGAAGCCTTTGCGCGGGGGGTTGCTCATCATGTGGCTGTTGAAAGAAGCGGCTGCGGAAAGCAAGTACTCCGGTTCCTGGGGCCTTGGAGGCCAGGGGTTCGAGGTCCAAAGAATGGCCAGGGGCAGCCTGGATACCCGGCTTTCTCCACAACACAAAACTTGTAGGCCCAGGATGAACAACAAGGTACTGTAAACAACACATTTGACGGACAGGTACTTCGGCTCAAGCTTCATGAGTCTCGCTAGCGTTCAAAGCAAAATTGACGCTGACACCCGCTCCGCGCAAGTGCAAGCTTTGCTTCTGAGGCTTCTGGCTCATTGGATCTTGCCACTGTCCTGCTGCGCTCGCAGAGCTCTGTGCAGGTTGGCTCCGACCACCTTGTGCTGCACGGAGACGGCGCGGGTAGGTGCATGCTGCATGCTACACCAACTCAATACCCATCATGTCATGAGGTCCATAGCCGCGCTCGAGACGCGCACGTGCTCCATTCTGTCAGCACGCAATCCACAGGCGAGCACCTTTTCATCTTCCACCAGAGCTTCTCCACCCACCCCCGTTGGTCTCCGCGAGTCAGTTTTGCAAGCAGTGCCGAGTGCTGAGCTCATTATAGCATGCGCTGCCTTGGCGCATCAGGTGCTCGACAACTCTCTTCATGCAGCATGCCATCCCTTGAGCTTGTTGAACTTGAAACCTGAACATTTTCACCCTGAAGTCAAAGCGTGGGCTTTTCACCTACAGACCCCTGAGACCTGGACTGCCGGCGCAGGTTGACTGGTAGAACTGCTCGCCGGAGCATGGCCTTTGAATGAGGTACATCCGCAAAAGCCAGCAAACATGTCAATCCTGAGATTGCTACATAGACTCATCGCCAGAGGCAAGCGGCCGATTTTCGAGCGAGAGACACATCCACCTCAGCAGCACCGCCCTGTCGCATGCCTGTGTAGGAGCTGCTCCCTGGGGCATGAGCTTGTCGGCTCCATCTGAGCCGGCGCTTGTGACTGGTCCTGCAGGCTGGAGAACTACTGAACGTCTGTCTGATCTCCTATGAGCTTCGACACGGTGTATGTCCTTGTCCCTTTCCTTGTATGCATGGTGTGTCTAACCAGCCACCTGTAGCTGTTCAGCAGGCTCGGAGAACTCACAATGTTTCCAAAGGCCTGGAACGTCCTGCTTCCAAATCTCCGTGCCCGGATCCACGAGAAGAAAGCAGCGACGAGCTGGAGCACGTGAGATCAAAAAGTAGTGCTGCAAATGCATCCTTTTCAGTTTCAGTTTTTCGTTGAGGTCCAAGACTGTGGTTCAACACTTCTCAACTCCAAGAGTGGGGATATGCTGCAACATCAAGATTTCTTGACATCTACCGCGGTCACGGCTCAGAACGTTTCCAACATGCAGTCTTCAGGAAGACTTCAAGACTCTGAAAGCTCAAAGCCTAAAACAGACCCGACATCGTCCCTCATCGTACAGCCATACGTGATAGCCTCCGTACTTCACAATGCGACTGCCATCGAACATGGCCTCAGCATGAGGGCAGCAATCCTTCGGAGAAAGATGGAACGGCTTCGTTGAGTTTTGCTGAGCTTTCTGAGCTTCTGGCTCCTTGCACTCCCTCCACACCTGTGGCTTCCGATCTTTCTGCAGAGATCCGTAGTCCCATGGCCGTACAGACTCTGAGTTCGCAGCTTCCCAACGAACGCAACACGTCCCTGCAGTCCTCCTCAGAGAGTGCCTGAACCGGGCACCCGCCTCAGCTGTCTGAAGCAGCCTCTTGCGGGCAGAACGAGGGCTTTTCTACCTGTGGACCGTCTCTGCAAGCTGAGGCAGAAGCTGTAACTGTTGCCCTTGGCATCGCGGCCTTACATGTTGTTGGTACTGGTTGGTACTGACTTGGCTGGCACTATGCTTTCTAGCTGAGTCCCGTGCAAAGCCCTCCCCTGTCACCAATGCGCTCGACCTTCAAGGCAAAGGAAAGACCGAAAGTCATGACTG